AACTTTTTGCATTCTCTGAGAGAGGTATGATGAAAACCTTTTTTACAGAGTGGTCATCACATTTGTTTAATTTTAGTTTTGATAATAGGATATATTGATTTACTGTATCAAATGCCTTCTTAAAATCTAAAAAAAGAAAAGCGGTAAAATTTCGAATTCTTCCAACCATTTGTCAATTACTTTAATGAGTGCTGTATGACAAGAATGTTTTTCTTTAAATCCAGACTGCTGTTGTATTAATAATTTGTGAGTGGTTAAGAATAAATATAGTTGTTTAAAGACAATTTTTTTTTCAAATAACTTGGACACAGTGGGTAAAATTGAAATGGGTCGAAAATTGTTTGGATTGTTTTATCTCCTCCTTTAAATATGGGAGCAACTTTAGCAAATTTTAATATATTAGGAAATATTCCTGTAAATAAACTAATGTTTATTATGTGAGTAAGAGGGCTTGCTACAATCGATCTTGATAATTTTAAAATTCTTGGTCCAACTCACTCAGTTCCAGTTGATTTAGTTATGTCTAGATTTTTTAGACCTTGTAAAACCTCATCATTTGTGACAGTATATAATGAAAATTTAGCATCATCATTTATTTTTGATTTGACATAGTTGTTAATTTTCACAGATTTAAAACTTGTGTGAGGATTTGATATAAGCTTCTCACCTACTGTGCTAAAATGATCATTTTTGTTTACAAGTACTTTTCGTTCGTGTGTTAAAATGTCAATTTCTTGTTTTGTTGTGGAATTCATATCCTTCAAATGCCTCCAACCATAGAATTTAACAGTATTCATCATTATTTATTGCATCCATAAAATATGTTGCTTTTGTTGAACGAATTAATTGACTAGTTTTATTCCTATATTTTTTATAATTCTCAGTGTCTTTCTTTTTGTGAAAATAATCTTTTTGGAATTGTGATTTACCAGTTTCATTAGTATACCATTCTGGTTGATATTCATTTTTTACACGTCTTGTAACAACAGGTGCATGTTTGTCTAAAACATTGACAAGTAAGTAATACAAGAAGTAAACAATACCCTGTAGGGTATTGCGCCGGTTTTAATAACAACATTTAATTTACCTTACAAATAAGCCTGATATCCCATGTTTTTTGTTTAAAAGAATGCTACTGGTACAGCCAAACTTCAAAACCAAATATTTGTAAATATGAAAGAATTTAATTAAGTTTTAAATAATTTATGGTAACGAAATCCTTGACTTCATAATTTACCAGTTATACATAGATTATGTTAATTGAAATAAAAAAAAACGTACCTACAGACACGGGCATAGCGTACGAGTGGGAAATATACCCTTTAAATGCTGTACTTATAACATAAATCCAACAGTGCAGTTATTTGCATGGATTTTAACATATATCCTTCATTTAAAGAGGGTACCAATTTAGTTTCCACTAATTTCATTTGAGGCCCTCATAAAGTAAGTACAATATAACATAAGTAAATATGAAAAATACAAAATGATATAGAACATACAAATAAACAATAAAAAACAAAAGTAGTATATTTAGATTGTCATATGTATTGTTCATGTTAATGTTCAATCTATCTCTACGTGGTTTGTCCGAGATATTTGAAACATTTACATCAAATAACATAAAGATGCAGATGTTTGTTTGATCGTTGATCAATATATATAGCTACTCCATATAATTAAACACAACTGCAAGCATAATATTTGTTCTTATTATATTCGTGTTTGGTCGAATAACTCTCAAATTGTTTTTGCTTGTCCAAATCATTTTTCTCTGTGGATTACCTATTAGAATACTTGTGGTTCATGTAGGATTTGTTATCATGTTGTTCTTTTTACACTAAATGATTACTATCAAATAGAGATCATTATTCAAATTATTTTCGAGGAATGGATATTTTTACCATAATGTAATGTTGTGTCAGCAGTATACATGTCAATTTGACTCAATATTTTCAAATGGTAAAAACCATTACAAACAAAATAAACAGTAAAGGACCTAATATTCACACTCGTAAAATTTTACTGAGTTGGGCTTAATATTTTCAACACAAAACCTCTGTGTTTTAAAAGAATGATAATACTAAAACCAATGAAGAAACATTAGGATCTCGTAGCACCTTAAATTTGAGTACCACAAACAATTATATTATGATCCACCATTGATCTGTAAAAGGAGTTAGATAGTTTTTCTATTTGGTAGTTATGTGTAATCGTATTGATCGTTACTGTAAGATCTTGCAATTAGGTATTAAGGGCTTCCGATACCATTTACAGGGTGGAAAATGTGATAACGTCGCTAAAGTAAAATATCACTTTTTTTGCCGGTGGCTTAAATATGTTAGGAGATTATGTGTTTCTATTTTTATGAACAAATCACCGATGAATTTTTTCCAATTAGATAAATGTGTAGCAAAAATACCGGTTTTTATTCTAAAATCATAAATTTTGATAAAATGAACTATTTACAAAGAATTTTTACACAAATTCAGAGCATACTTCTGTAAAGCAGATAATCCAAATGATTGTCACAAAAATCCGCCTGTGTTTATCTTTTGAAACAAAAAAGTAAGCTTTGTCTGTCCTTAGGATACAAATGTTGAAAAACCGACATTTTGAGTGAATGTCTAAAATTTAGACCCGGTTTATCTCTAAAAGTAACACATGAAGAGTTTATTTTTTTTTTACATATTTGAATTAACAGGATGAAAATAAATTGTATGGACGAAAATCACCTCGAGATCAAATCTCTGTATCGTACGCCCTTAAAGTGACATGGATAAATGTAATACTTAACCAGCAAAGTGAAGGATTTCAGGAAACCTCCCATGGCTCTGATCCAAGAATAATAACTGTTGCTTGAATACATTAATAGAAAATTACATGTATGTTGAAAAAGTGACAAAATTTCTATCTTTAAATTTGTGACTAGACTGATTCCTGTAAAGTATTACTAATAGTTTCCTTAGTTTCATTACTGCAGGAACTACAAATACTGTTTTCTTTAAACCCACATGTAGCAAGAATTACATGTAAAATTTTAAACTGGAGTACTATATTAAATTTGTTATTTTTAATACAACAAAAAGATTAACTATAAATAAAATCCCGATGTTTTTGAAAAGAATTGAAATTGAATTGAATTTTGAAAGGATTTTTAAAACTATTTTTCAATCAATTCAATTTTTCGTTTGGTATGCATGTAGTTCTCTCTTTTTTTACAAGCTTTCGGTATCATATGTAGTAAATAATTGTATTCGAGTAAATTAAGATGAACGTAATATCTTTCCACGGAATTCGCGCAAAGACAAAAATTCACTGCTCTCTTTAAGTAAATCCTCAATAAAGGAAACTCATGATTCACACCAATTCTGGTAAAAGAGAAATTCATTATTCATTTTTACAGGTTACTAGTATCGTTTCACTACCACTTCAGCAGTGTTATTAGTGACAGTATTAAAGATATTCTAGTAAAGCAAAATTTCTTTCCAAAAGCTTTTAAATTTTGTAAAAATCTTTTACATACCACCTCGGGTATACGTAATCAGCCATATTTTACTGCTCCAAATTTGTTGTACTGATCAGATCATCTATTAGGAGTGTTTTCAATGGAGATAAATTCAAAGGGTCTAAAAGTTTATTTATCCATGTCATCTTCAATGAGAAACAGAAATGGCTATATCCGGCATATTTATTCCCCCTTTTCTTTTAACCTGACCACAGAAAACTAGAGAAAATGTTTTGAATTTGTTTGATCTTATGCACAGGTGGATTTGGCAGAAATATATGACTATGGATAAGGTAAAACAGTTGTGATACCTTTATTGAAAATTATAATTGGCCACTGTGTAGATTTTTGCACAAGTCGATTAAAAACAGGATTGAATAGAAAAGCGTAAACAGCTTCTGATGGATTGTAAGCTTTAATGGTTGACTTTTTCATTTTAGTTATTATTACTTGTGTTTATCATTGGTTTTCATTACAAAGGAACCCGACAAGGAGAGAAGTACGCATTTCCAGTATTTGCAAATTGTTTGAAGAGATATATATATGCAAATTGCATACAAGAACAGTCAATCACAATATAACTGAACATTAGCACCAAATATTTTTCTAGTCTGGATGCATCATTAACACCTTCACGTTTTGTTTCTGGATGCCTTTAATATCCCTTCAATGACCTGTGGATTTATAATAGTGTTAAGCTTTTTGTCTATAGATGTCTGTAACAACCATACAACATTTATTTATCAATATAAGTCATGGGGGATATGGAATATCAGAATAGTGTTAGTGTTTATTTCTGTATAAGTCCTACCGGACTATATTTAATGTGAGTTTTACTCATTAGTTTTTTTCAAAATCAGGACAATTCAGAGCTTGACATATAGTAAAGTTTGTCCATCATTGATTAAGAAGTATTGTCCTCTAGTTGTTTGCTTTTAGGTCAACGGACTTTTACAAAACATATATTGGAGTTTAGTATGACGTTCATTATCACTGAACTAGTATACATATTTGTTAAGGGGCCAGCTGAAGGACGCCTCCGGGTGCGGGAGTTTCTCGCTGCATTGAAGACCCATTGGTGGCCTTCGGCTGTTGTCTGCTCTATGGTCGGGTTGTTGTCTCTTTGACACATTCCCCATTTCCATTCTCAATTTTACCTTTTATATGAATTGGTTATTAGGAGAGCATGTTCAACTTTTCATAAAAAAAACATCTGAAACTGAGTTTTCCCTATGTGGAATATTATGATTGATTAAGGAAATCCTCATATTTGAGATGTTTAATGAGACCAAAGTATTTAAGAAGTCCCAATGGCGCTGATGTTATTTACTCTCAAGAACAAAAAACTGCTTCTTAAATTGCATCAGAATGATTAAAACTTGACATGGAGTTTTTAGACATTCGATTTTTCTATACCACTACTGCCATGCGCTTGGGTAGTCGTGAATAGATAAACCTTTGAAATCTAATTACTAGTAAGTAAGTAAGTAAGTAAGTAAGTAAATTGTTTATTATAGTGACATGTGTAAATCAACATAAATATATATATGTACAAAATATAATCCGACATACACCTATATAATCATATATAATATCAAATCCATGTTTTCCACTTTGTAAGAAACTAAAACTGTTAGATAAATTACAGAACGTATCAAGTTATCAAATTATGAAAATGGGGGCAATAAGATGTCATAGCAGAAACAGTTGTCGAAAGGAAAACTCCGTGTTTGTTTGCAAAGAAGTATATATATAATAGTTAGGCATTGTTAGGCATTTTATATAACGGATGATCTTCTGTGTACACCTACCCCTTATCTATCTATTTGCATGACTTAAGATTTCTAAGAAAGGCTTGAAATACTCCATAACTAACTGGATCAGTCTTAAACATGATACATGTATTATACAAAGAAAAAAAAATGATAAACGGGAAAACAAAATTATTCTTCTTGAAACATACATTATGAAACATAAAAACATATTTTACGAATTCAATTAAAGAATTAACTCCAGGTGCAAAATTAAATTTCAGTATAATTACCTTGAACCAATATTTTATTATTACTTATAATAAGTAATAAAACGCCTATAATTGTTCAATTACTTATTGTTGTTTTTCCTATCCTATAATTGTTATAGTTAATATATAATTATAATTTATAGAGAAAACAGGATAATGCACCCTCATTTCTGTTATATAGATACAATGGATACGCGTGGATTCTTGAAAAAGAAACCATGAGCTCGGAGGGCGAATGGTTTGTTTTTCATGAATCTACGCTTATCCATTGTATCTATAACTTAAACTATTGTGTTAATTTCTTTTCAAAATTAAAGCCTTTTCTTAATTAGAAGGTATTGTAAGTGATTTTAAATAACCATGTTATCGTGTCCAACGATGCATTGATAAATCTCAGATCACAATTAATTGGTAAACAAAATACAAATATAACACTTCTACCTTTAAAGATCTTAATATTATCAGGCATCTGAATATTATCTGTTTTTACAAAATAAGACATATTCGAACTTATTTCTAATAAAATTGAGAATGGAAATGGGGAATTTGTCAAAGATACAACAACCCGACCAAAGAGCATATATAAAGTATATATAATAAGTATGTTACCAAAATTTCTAGCACTCTAGGCACATCACGATTTTCTCGCATAGGATTGCGAACAAACATTTGTAAAATTATGTAGTAAAACAGATGAAATCATACTATATTTATACAACAAAAATTGACAAATAGAATGTAATCATTTTTGTTTCAAACATGTGAAATAGCCAATAATAATCAAAAAAATAAACGGTAAAACTCGCTATTATTACAAAAATATCCACTATAACATGCAAAATTAGAAAAAAAAAACAGAATTGGGACAACAGAGATAATACAGGGATTCGAACCTAAACCGACAAATCCCTATCTTTTAACTCGTTGATTTAAAGCATGCTAACCTCGCGGCTACCAACTTATACTATACGACTGCCCATTGTGTATATATAAATGTACAACCCCTGTGTGTCCGATGTTCATTTATATATATAAAATAAGACATCGAAGTTGTAACCCATTGGTAGCCGAGAGGTTTCGTAGATGTGTTGATGTCAGTCATTCATAACAGATTTCAAGGAAGGGTTCGATTCCCAGAGAAGGCATTTACAAATTACAAAAATTAAAGGTAAGTTTTTAAATTAATTCCATTAGTGAACAGAAATCAGTAAATTAGCAAATTCAAACTTAATGAAATTAGACACACAAAGGAAACAATTGAATATAATTTGGTGAGTCCATTTCAGCGGCAGATTTAGGAAGCGTTGATTCTAGAAAAAGAATCCACGGTAAATGAATAGGCTGACGTCACCACAATGGTTTAAGTTATATAGATACAATGGATAAGCGTGGATTCTTGAAAAAGAAACCATGAGCCCGGAGGGCGAATGGTTTGTTTTTCATGAATCTACGCTTATCCATTGTATCTATAACTTAAACTATTGTGTTAATTTCTTTTCAAAATTAAAGCCTTTTCTTAATTAGAAGGTATTGTAAGTGATTTTAAATAACCATGTTATCGTGTCCAACGATGCATTGATAAATCTCAGATCACAATTAATTGGTAAACAAAATACAAATATAACACTTCTACCTTTAAAGATCTTAATATTATCAGGCATCTGAATATTATCTGTTTTTACAAAATAAGACATATTCGAACTTATTTCTAATAAAATTGAGAATGGAAATGGGGAATTTGTCAAAGATACAACAACCCGACCAAAGAGCATATATAAAGTATATATAATAAGTATGTTACCAAAATTTCTAGCACTCTAGGCACATCACGATTTTCTCGCATAGGATTGCGAACAAACATTTGTAAAATTATGTAGTAAAACAGATGAAATCATACTATATTTATACAACAAAAATTGACAAATAGAATGTAATCATTTTTGTTTCAAACATGTGAAATAGCCAATAATAATCAAAAAAATAAACGGTAAAACTCGCTATTATTACAAAAATATCCACTATAACATGCAAAATTAGAAAAAAAAAACAGAATTGGGACAACAGAGATAATACAGGGATTCGAACCTAAACCGACAAATCCCTATCTTTTAACTCGTTGATTTAAAGCATGCTAACCTCGCGGCTACCAACTTATACTATACGACTGCCCATTGTGTATATATAAATGTACAACCCCTGTGTGTCCGATGTTCATTTATATATATAAAATAAGACATCGAAGTTGTAACCCATTGGTAGCCGAGAGGTTTCGTAGATGTGTTGATGTCAGTCATTCATAACAGATTTCAAGGAAGGGTTCGATTCCCAGAGAAGGCATTTACAAATTACAAAAATTAAAGGTAAGTTTTTAAATTAATTCCATTAGTGAACAGAAATCAGTAAATTAGCAAATTCAAACTTAATGAAATAAGACACACAAAGGAAACAATTGAATATAATTTGGTGAGTCCATTTCAGCGGCAGATTTAGGGAGCGTTGATTCTAGAAAAAGAATCCACGGTAAATGAATAGGCTGACGTCACCACAATGGTTTAATTTATCAAGAGGGCGGCACCAAAAGTTATTATTTCGTAGTTTAGCATTAACCGAAATTATGTATCTGTTTAATTCTGATTGAACGTTCAAACATTAAACCAAACGGGAAGCCTATTTAGTGGAGTGTTTTCTTATGGCTTCTGTATCCCCCTTCGAATAACATATAACGGTTTTGCTGACGCTCTAAACTTCGAGAGTCCCCTTATAGCTTCTGCATCCCCCTTCGAATAAGACACAACGTTTTTGCTGAGGCGCTAAACTTCGACTGTCTTCTTATGGCTACTGTATCCCCCTTCAATTAAGACACAGCGTTTTTGCTGACGCTCTAAACTTCTGATCAAAGAATCCATAAACATACGGATTGACAATATTGTTTACAGTAGTCATGTGATCTATAAATTTAAACACAATGGTCTCTGTCTGGCTAATTTTAATCCAAAAATAACGATCTTTGATCAACGAGAAAAGTAAAAATATTTGTGGTAAGTATGACAGAATAAATGCTAAGCTTATAACCATAAACATATACGAAAATTTTCTTGAGGATGCTGGCTCGTCAGATGTTGCCTTGTTTGCTTTTGAATAATTTGAAAAAGGAACCTCTACTTTTTCTTGGCGTGTTTCTTGCTCATTGTTAGTAAGTGAAAAATCAGTCGAATTTGCCTCGGTCATGCTTGTTCCTTCCTGGGCAACGTAAAATGTTGATCCAGATTTTTCTTTCGATGTGTTTGATCTCGCCGCCTTCGTCGAGTTTCTTCTTGCGTTTGTATTCCGAATGACAATGAAAATTTTCCTGGCTATCAGGGAATTCAAAATTATAAGTTCCAGCATTACAGATACTATAACAAAAGATATGAAACATATAAAACCTAGGATAGAATCACTGTTTTCGTTTACTTCAAACACGTCTGCTGCACATATATATCCTGTGACATTCAATGCAGGATTAGGGACTTCTAAGATTTCATCCCAAATGACGAATGGAGCGCCAGTGCCTGCAGCTAGAAGAAATATAATCACAAGAGATACACGTCGCCATCTAAGAGTTATCTGGGGTCCAAATGGTCGGCATACTTTCAAATATCTCTGTAAAGTTATAATGCCAAGAAAATATATTGAAGAGAAGGTAAATATATTAACAGCAAACCATAAATAACGACACGCATTGATGTCTTGAAAATTGACAGGAAGTATAGTTCTCCAAAGCTCGAATGGCACTCTCAAAAGTGTTGCCAAAAGATCCACCAATGCTAAAATTGGAATGAAATACCGACTGTCACTTTCCTTCCTAAGCTTTGTTTGATACACAATCAGAACCATCGCATTCCCAAATACTCCAACAATGAAATAAATAATAAGGAAAACGTCATGCACAATGTATTTATAGGCTTCTTCCAAGTTCCACGCATTTAAAATCTCCTCTGTTGAACGATTCATTTTGTTATATTCTTTTTAATCTGGTTGAGACTGATGCGATGTATCATTTGATGAAAACATGATTAGGTTGTATACTTAAATACAATTTATATTCTTCCTTGTTTGAACGACGAACCACCTACAGTCCATCTGATATTTTATTTAAAGTGTCATTTCCGTATTTCAAATAAATTATTATGTCATATACTTACTGTTTTTTTTTTAAGATATGAATCGGACGTAATTATGAGAAACGTGCATTTAATATCTCTTCATTCTCAAGTTTTCTTACAGTTTTTCAAGTATTGTAATCCAAAACTTTCGCTAAAATTATTATTTTTCTAGTATTGATAAACGTAGTAAAAATTATATATATTGTGTTTTTTTAAAGATGAAGTTAGCTAAGTGGGAAGATTCTTTCCGATGAAGAAAATTTAACATTTTGTACTATTTCCAACTTTCTTCCGATACAATACAATCCCGGAAATACTTCTTTTGAAATTGTTTGTTGTATAAAAATCATATCAAATTACAGAAGGGAGAAATTAAACAAGTAAATAACGGACACCACCTAGGCCGAAAGTAAATAAACGAAGAGAAACATAATTAATCCACAAAATATAACACAGAAAACTAAAGATCGAGCATTATAACCCTCGATAAAAACCGAGGATTAAGGTTAAAACGAAGTAATTATTTACATAGGCGACAATACTAGCCTTTTTGGGTCCTACGTTTTCACTATAAAAGATCCGTTGATAAAAATGTCAAATTCTGAATTATCAACACCTTTGGGTGTAAATAAAACTGCAAAATATATACGGTGCCGCAGCTTTTTCATAGAAAAATGGCATTTTTTAAGGGTACTCAACGGTTCAGGAATTTCCGAAATAGTATGAATGAAGAAGACCCCTAGTTTGCCTAGTTTGGCACAGAAAATGTTGCTCGTCACAGAGAGTTTCCTCTAAATTTCTAGCTATTTCTACACCAATGGCCAACACTCATTTCTCACTATTTCAATTTTGATTTCTAATTACCAGGGCAGCAGAAAATACATTTACTTCTACCTATTATCTTGGGTGTAAAATCTAGGTGGCGCCAGTCATCCTTAATGACTTCCTTTTAACCTTAAACCAGGTGCTCTAGGGGTGTAAACACGATGAGACAGTCATTGTCGATACGACAAATAGAACATCTCCGTTGCCTTGTTTGACACACACTTACACACATTGTAACGTTCAGTTAAGCGACTGCTTCATATACACTTTCAGCAATGATTCTACTTCAACCATCAAGAATCTTTGGTTAACCGGTGTCATTGTAAGCCTAAACAAAGAAAATCAAGAAAAAGAAAGCTCTTGAATGTCGTATCAACTGTCATATATTAATATGTTATTATCCTATTTAGAGATTGTCGATTTCTGATTTCTTGATATTAGTCAAAGCATGACAGACCTAGCAGTATTTTGTGTATTTTAGTTTAATGGGACTGATGCGATAAATACTGTCAAACAAGTTTGAATAATTACGATTACGTGAACGCAGGGAAGGAACGTGGTTTATTCGCAACTGAAAGTGATAGCTATCTTTATATCTTCTGTTCAATACAAATTAAGAATCTCGTTCTATTTTTTGTTACTTCTCAATCATTTGTAAAGTGTCTGATATTCGTAACTCTTGAAGACATATTACAAGAATACCTTTTACCTTTTCTTTCAAAGAAAACAGCGATTGTATTTTTAAATTAAGATCTTGTTTCATGAAGGGCAAATCTCAGTGCAAAAACCACTTAGGCGAACAAAAATTTCTCTTAAGGTGGTACCTAACACTACAGGGAGATAACTCTGTAAAAATCAGATAAACGTTTTAATTACGTTGTATTGTTAAGGAAATATTAAGCTTCTCAATGATCAAAATTAGTGTTTGTCAAACTGCTATATAACCAATGAAATTTTTCTGATAAAATGGTTGGTTCAAATTTTTTGAAATTTTTATATTTTTGTCAAAGGGTCAAAGTAAACATTTTGTCAAAATTTTATGAAAATTAAACGAGCCAAATCAATATTAGTCAAGGTGTTGGATCCACCTTAAACTGACATCAATAAAATGCTGTATTTAGAAAAAAAGCATGTTTGTTATCATTCATGGACGTGTTTATCAACAGACTCAATATTATTTTGAAACCATGCATCTGTACTCTTCGTCTTGTCGTTTTTTCCCGATTGTCCCATTTTTTTACCTTAAATTATATGCTGTATAAAAATAAGGAGACGTGGTACCATTGCCAATGGGACAACTATCCACCAGAGTTAAAATGAAGTGGTAATAAGTAATTATATAGGGCACCGTACGGCCTTCAACAATGCAAAAAACTCATACGTATAGTCGGCTATAAAAGGCCCAAACATGAAAAATGTGAAACAATTCAAATGAGAAAATTAACGGCCTTATTCATAACAAAACAATTTACGAAAATCAAATATGACAGACATGAATCAGACATGTTGCTTTTTTATAATCCGCATCTGGTTAATACCATTTCGTAGTTTCCCAGTAACAATAAAGCTCGATTTCAGTTGAATTATTGAGAATAAAATATAAGTCGAAGCAAACCGAAGCAAACCAATTGGTATTCATGTTTTAAGTTTCATGGATGCCAGCGATATTTGGTTCTCCTAATTTACGTCACAAAATAACTTGTAAATGACAAAATAATAAAGTATTATCTGCGATTCAAAAGTAGAACTCTCCCCTTTACTCGAAAGTAGGAAAGAACAGGATTTTTGAATCAGTTGTGGGAAAGGGGGTGGGGTGTTTAAAGTCAGTGCATTTGATAAGCGAGATACACCGTATTTTAATTCGATAACAATTAATAATTATTTAAATATCTTTTTTTTTTGCCCCTTGAATTACAAAATCGATAGTAGACATATACAAAATAACATATTAGATGTCCATAAAACAATAACACATTAGATGTCCATAAAACAATAACACATTAGATGTCCATAAAACAATAACACATTAGATGTCCATAAAACAATAACACATTAGATGTCCATAAAACAATAACACATTAGATGTCCATAAAACAATAACACATTAGATGTCTATAAAACAATAACACATTAGATGTCCATAAAAAACAATAACACATTAGATGTCCAAAAAACAATAACACATTAGATGTCCGTAACACAATAATTTTGTAGGTCTATCAGACAGGAGTATTTACATTTCTGAAATTTGTCAGATTTTTTTTTATTAAGGCTTCAAATTTTGTAATTTAGTACAAGAATGCAAAAAATGCAAAAATATTCTTATTTTCAGATCATGTCGTTCATATTTAAACAGGCTTTACCCACAAAGATATGTGTGTGCAAGATGATTATTACAAAGCTGTTATGTGTGTAAAATGTCTTTTTGAGTAAGGCCTTGGCTAATTTCTTTTTTGTTGAAAACTACGTGCATTTGGTCATTTAAAGTCAATAACTAGTATGTCAAATTTGATCTGTTTATGACATCCAATAACAGTGACAGCTCAGCTTGCTTTCAATTACTGAGATAGTTCTTTGATACGGTGTTGTGTTACCTTTTACATCTGTAATACCTATACTATAGATTAAAATGCTTTTTTTCTGACCTGATAAGTCTATTTATGGTCAGACTTCAATTGTTTATTTTGTCCACGGTTGCGTCTGCCTTTCTGTCCTTTCATTCCCCATTTTGCACCTTTTTTATTTTTTCGATTGAGTTTCGGTTGACTGACTTTTAGCGGAACTACAAATTTTCTTTTCAAGACTTTTTTGCAATGCCTGCATATATGAAGCTGGTTTTTGGTAGTTTAGTGTATGATGATAACTTACAGATCGAGTATGCGTTTCGTTCCGGTTGACCACTTTTTGGTAGAACTACGGACCTAAGGAAATTGTACTTGCCCAGACCTTTCTGTAATGTCTGCAGATCCGATCCCGGTATTGCTTATCAGTGTATTATCATGACGTACAGAAAGAGTTCCGGACGACTGAATTGTGGCGGAACCACAACTGACTTTTTGTAATAAGGCTGCACACGGGAACATTTTGTGTCTTAACAACAGATCTAGTTTTTGTGAAGTGTAGGGAAAGGTACAACGAAAAGGTTAAAAATTAACCCGAATCCCAAGTCACGCTTTACGACAAATACAATCTTCTAAATTATGTATCATCGTAAGACAATAAAAAGTTGCGTCTACCATTTACTGCGCATCTTAATTGGTCAATTCATCTAGTTTGCATTTAGATATTATAGCCTAACTACCTTTTAAGTAATAACCGCATTAGTCACAATTTTAGGTAATCTAAAAGCAACTGGGTTTATTTACTGCTTTTTCTGCATAATTTATTGATTCATTTCACTGTTTCATGACTTGAGCCATTATATATAAATGCCAGTCTGAGTAAACAGAATGTATACCCTCTATGATTTGTCGTACTGTCATTTCTTATGAGCTATTAACAATTCTTAGTTTGACAAAGTGATGATAAATCATTCTCAAAGACATTTTAGCATTTAGTTATTTCTCTTAAAACTACTTTTAAACACCAACACATATTTAAACCTTAATTGGTCGTCGTACTGAATAGACAAGGCATACATTTGACGAGGAATGGCAAATAATTATACTAGTGCAATTTCATTTATCTTTAGTCAGTGAGGTTAATAAATTTATGACAAACTAAACTCTTAAACTTTATCAGGAAACTAGAACACACCCGCGGGTCCGTGACTGAATTAAAGTACCTATGCCTTATTTTTAGCCTTGATTTTTAGTATTCGTACTGTCATCTGATAAAGTCGTGCTGATTGTAAGGTGAACATGTTTCAAAATATTTCTGGTTTTCTTACTGCAATAAACTTACTATAAACTGAATTAATTTTTTTAACTAATTAACCAAAATCAATAGTGGCATTGAGGTGGAAGAAAACAGACTTGTTAAATAGTGTACTATAGTGTAACATAGATATAAAACAACTACTGGAGGAATTCCAGGGGAGGGATGTACTGACCATATCCTCAGTGTCCAATATCTTCTTGCTACAGTTCCATTAAGTTGTGGATAGCAGAAATTCTGCAGGGGAACTGATGGGAGATTATATCGAACACTCTTGTAGTACAAAAATGGGGATATACCTTTTCCTACGGATTCCGAAAAAAAAAACAATGCTGAACGTCTTTAGCCAACAAAAAACCCAATGACTTAGTAAAACAAACC